TTACTGTCCAACTAATGAAGGCTGAAAACTTTCTTCCTACCATTGGGATGAGTCACACATTCTACGTATACTGCTAGACCTAGTGAAAGGAACCACGCCTGCAAAACCCCATGGATCAAAACAGTACGGCTAACTGCACAAAGAGTTCTACATTGGTTAGCCTTTATGGGTATGCATAGCAGAAAACATTCAAACGAGCCTATGAGTTGCATGAGAACCAAGAGCCTAACGTTCCCAATAGGATAAACCCCACGGTAGTTTCATGGGTGCGATTTCAACGGAAGAAAATGAAAGCCCAAGAGAAGCTAAAGGCATACAGAGAGCGGAAGCGAGCGCTTAAAAAGACCGTACTGTTTCCTTCTACGGTGGATGGGTGCTGGGTGAGGCGTGGCACAATAACCCCATCTCACGTGTTCAGAACAAATGAGACGATCGCACGTGAAAATAGCATGTGGAAGAATTACTGCAATTGGGATTCAACAATCAAATTGTTGCAAAATTGTTACAGTCAACTGATATTTGTTTGGATAAACATCAAGTAAGATGAGTTACTTAAATGTTTCAAATACTTTAAATATGTGTGAAGAAGGCAAAAACGTGTTCAATTTCACAGTGGAAGAGATTACTAGTAATTAAAAACCGTTGTAAATGGAAAAGTATACAGTAGTACGCGGCTTAAGCTCCTTCTGAATGTTCCCCTCGCATGACTTTCCTTCAGAACTGCTGAGCCATTTGAAAGTATTATAGTTGCGGCCTATTCACGGGTGCCCGAATTAGTTTCCATTTTCTAGTACTGATACTTCCAAATTCAATCCGATGACCAGAACAGTGACCGCTGGTTTTCTGAAAACCATGTTGGACTCGGTGCGGACTGATATGTGTTCATCGTTTCGCTACTTTTTACCTCCATGACCAGTGATTTTTAGGCGGAGGTGGTGTAGTGACAAGTGGCGCGCTTATCACTAGGTCATGGGTTCAAATTCCAGGTCGACTCCCGCCCAGGCCAACAAGCCTTCTACCCTCCGGGGACGGTAAATTGGTACCAGATTCGTCTGGGAGGATAAAACACTGACTTGTACATCGGCTGGCCCCGCAAGTCATTATAGGCCACATCGCATTCAATAAGCCACTACGATTCTGAATGGAAGTAGAATGCGTGCCGCATCCCACAAAGGGGATTGATCAACGGCGAAACTTCCCTTTTATTTTGGTTCTCGTGATCAGTAATTTTTTTACAATGTCATATGAGATCTGTTCCTTCTTTGTCCGAAAACGTGTTTTGACACCTTCAGAACATGTAAGAAATGCCAGTTGCATCATAACGCTGCAGGAAAAGCTGTACGACTGCGCATGAGCGTCATGCGGTACGGAATTGTTAAAAAGTATGGTACCTGGGAGCCAAGTATTTTATGTTAGCAGCTGACAGATGGTAAAGCAGTCCAAGTTGTAGAATGAAGGCAGGGTTTAGCTACGGCATGTGCCACAACGGATAGAAGCGGTCTCATTCACTCAAAAGTCTTAGAGAGAATCCTTTGCTTATTCATTCATGCAATTATTAATTTGTTTATGCATGAATTTGGGGCGTCCGAAAGGACGCGCCGATCTTCAAGGAGCAAGAGCATCACTTCAAGAAGAATATTCCATTTGTAGTTAAATAGGCATGAATGCGGAAGTAATTGACTCCTTATTTATTGTATCCTGTTTGCATTGGTCAATACAGATCATTATTTTTTCACTGTCGATCAAAATATCAGCAGTGTTACCTAGTGTTAGTGGTAGAAGATGCACTGCGAAACCCTTATCACAGCACGAAGCTCTCGTACGACATATCAACCCAGATTAAAGGGAGAGAAGGAGTAAAAGGGGAGGAACTCTGCTCGGTGGAAGAGGTATTTCGATGCTGCTGTTTTTTGGATCCGCTACTTATTTTCACCGTATAAGATGCGCTCTATGCATAGATTCTCTTAACGGACGCAGAAAGACAATCGTTTTGAGGCCACCGTTTCAGTGTGAGGCCCTATAGGCTGGGCAATTTCGACAATCCAAGACGGTCCTGACATGGGCCATAAAGTTGCCGGCCAAGCCTTCTATCCTCAGGAGATTAGTAAGACGGTATCATGCTCGTCCAGAGGGATAAAAACAAGAGGGTACGGTTGAATGCGTTGTTCCAGTCAAGACTCGATTCTAGACCTCGTACTCTGGTCGATGTGCAAGCATTGATCAGGCAGCGCGAGGTCCAGGTTTGATTCCTAGCTGAATAATCTCGTTTGGCCCATAACTGAGCAAACCTGTAATGAATATCACGTACCACACGGAGAAGATCAAGTTGGTAAGTAGGATGTTCCGTATTCACCTCAACAGGATTGCCGCTGCAACGCTGCTTGTGTTCGCTGCCTTTCTCTGATTTTTTTTGTTGTCTAATCTGCTTGAACTGGGTCAACTCTCTGCTAAGCTGGGAACGGAACATCGCCAATGTGATGTGCAAAGCTGGTTGGCCCCGGTCTTGATGGAATAGCTATGATTCGTCTGAGGAATAATCCAAATGAACCATCCGGGTTTTGGAATTTCCTCCAATAAAGTTGCTCTCCTTTTTGCTCTTCCTCCTCTCTTCTTTCACTTCCTCTCTTCCCTCCTCCTCATTTTCCTGCCTGCAAATATTCTGCGCACCTTTGGACCTCCAAAACATAAGAGACCCTGTAACACAGAAAGGCCATGCCATAGTAACATAAAAACTGGTCCATTTGCATGACTAGCATATAACGAATTTTTTTTGGTATTGTGCTGTCCCGGAGCTTCATTAGAATCTGAACGTAAAAACCTAGGAAGTACCAAAATTTTTTAGTGCAAAAGGTTCAAAGGATATGAAAGAATCAAAAAAAATTTTGCAACATTTTTCTCTATTGAGGGGGGAAAAAGGAAATTTCTGTGAAAACTGGTCTTTGTGTTTTGTTGCAAGGAAAAAAATTTTTTTTGTGCCTCTCATGTTTTTACTTTTTTCCTCGAAATCTTTCGGTATTACGGTAGTTCCGGGATAATGTTCTTATGATGTTTTCATATGATTTCATTTCCGTTGAACACTTGAGTGTCAAGGTTGTCATTGGGGGCGATGATTGATGTGATCGCGGTTGAACTTCGCACTTCACACAATACATTATGGTCTACCAAATGGTCTCTATCCATTTCCGTCACAATCGCCGCAAAACTATTGACGTCGTTGATAGTGAAGTGAAGTGAAGTGTAATAGACGTTGATAGCACAGTGATCGTCACGTCATTTTGACGTAATGACACCATCGAACTACCGTATTCAGTTAGTAATCAAGGGAGTTTGCGTGAAGAAGTTAGTGCGATATTCTGATCGCTGCTCATCATTGTGACGTCAATGGGCGGTTTCACAACGGCAACTCCTAAACGATACACGGAGTAACTCAGCTTAGTTTATCTTCCTACTAGCAGCAGTGTAAATGTGTTGCATCTTTCTTCAAATATTGTGACATTCGTCAATAGCAATGTTTAAGTTGCATAACCGTAATAGAAGTAAGGTGTCAAGTTCCGTGAGGGATAGTAGCTATGTAGCTGTCGGGAGCAAGTACGCCTGCAAAGTGCGCATCACGGGGATCTCAAGTAGGGTTATCTCAATGGGTGAGCTATAAGAGAGGCTATTCTGAAAGCGCCGCTATGTATGTACAGTGGGGGGGGGCAAAAAAAAGGCAAACACCTGCGAAACTTCTTGTATCGAGTCACCCATGGACAGCTACCTGGGGACCGGCACTCTTGATCTGGAAGACCTCCAACATCGAGCAGCTCCGACAACGTCGCTACGGTCCAGGATATCATCTTCACCGCAGTCGCCAAGGCGCGGGTTGATGGTATGGACCGGAAGTTCCTGGAATGGGAAGACCGATATTTTCTTCGTGGACCCCGGACTGAAAGTGAACGCTGACGGTTACATCGAACACTCTCGAGAAGAATATCCTGTCTTCACGCGCCTTTGCCATCCTGGAAACTTCGTGCCAGGATTGGGTGTCACCACATGGAATCGAAGGGCGTTGGAAAAACTCTCGCCTACTTGGAATGGAAGGGCGTTGAGTACCTGAAGAAGACGGAATATCCAAGTGTGTCACCTGACCTGAACCCCTCGATTACCGGGTTCGGGCGGAGCTCAACAGGGTGGTCTACAGTGGCGGAGAAATCAACGACCTCGCTGAACTCAGGCACCGAATCACGGTCGCGTGGCAGAATCTCTCGATGGCGCTCGTCCAGAAGGCTGTGGCGGAGTTTCGTGATCGTGTGCAATGTGTTGTTGAATTTGATGGTGGAAATGTCCAATCAGAATTGATAAAGTGTAACTTATATCGCCTTGAAAGTCGAGGAAGAAAAGTGTCTGTTTTTGCCACCTCTCCCCTGTAGATGAGGAAAATGTCACTATACCGGTTTTGGAGCCGTTTGAGAGGCCGTTCGAGGTTTTTGATGTTTTCCCACGACGAAAATCTCAGAAAACAATGCCTCTTTGCTCTTCTCTTCTTCTTCACACAAAGCAGTTGTATGGACATGAAGAGGATTTGTTCCCTATCGTGGCGTCAAATCCAACTCACGCCTCTTGCCACGCCCTATCATTTGCATGAATCGTGACTATTCGTTTGCGCAAGTTGATCATGATATTTGTAGAAGATTGGTTGGTAAGGTTCAGTTCTCTGATATCTTACTGCATCTGTCGCAAAATATGGTACAAATTTAATTTAAATATCACAACGCATGCAATATTTGAGAAGATTGACAGCAAATATGAAGCAGCATAATTATTAATTACAACTTTCATTCAGGTACAATGTCCGACTTTCGCAAGTTCACTTGCCCCAATCGTCCACCATAAACGTCGGCATTTGACTGCATGAACGTTGCTATAGAGTGAATCGTCAATTGATTGGTAATATCGGTCTGAAAATAACTTGTTAACTTGTTATTCCAGAAAGAAACTTGCTCCAAGCAAGCGATGCCCTGAGCAAGCGACTGTCATTGAAGGCCTCCAAGGTGGGATGGGTATCACCTCGTCCGCTGCGTTTTCATCCGGTGTAGTCGTGGAGGAATCAGTTACTGACTGAAACTAGAATATTAGAGAAATTTTATAAGAAGCTTCACCTCATATCCAGGAGATGGAGTGGGCGTGGCTGCGTACCCCATTAAAACGTGGAGGCGGTTGCTTTTTCAGGGTAACCTTATAGTTTTGGACAGTTGTAATCGTTTACGCCTTAATTACGCGTACTAGGTTATTTCCGAATGAGGTCCGCTGCCCTGCCCACCCCATCTCCGGGACATCAAGTGTAGAACCGATTAGGTTACTTACCGCAACGCTGGCTTTTTTCGACTGCTTGCAGTAAGCGTCTAATTTGTTACTTACAACAGCGAATGCTCCTAAAAATGAAATTTTTGCTGGAATATTTTCCTTTCCAACGATCTCATACGCACCGTGTACTCCATTTTCCAGACTTAAATAGCACATCCTATTGATAACTTTAATCATTGGCAAACTGAAGAAGAATACGCTACAGATGATTGGCTCAAACTAAAATGAAAACAAATGAATTGTGTTTGATGAGGCAGTGGGCACGATGGCCGGGGGCGGGCGGTTACACTCAACGTCATTGGCGGATGTGCTGCGAGAGGGCGTTTGGCCACGCCCAGCTCCCAACAGCGGCCCATCCCCAGTCATCGTGTCCACTGTCTTCTAAATGAATACGCGAGAATATTTTATAAATCCTTAACGAACTGGGATGTTGTTGGGCATCACATCGCCGAGGCCGATGGTGGTGAATGTTTGAAAAGTGAAATACAATGCAAGAAACCAGTCCATTCCTGAACTGGGAGGACCTGTCAGCGCATCGTAGGAATGCACCCACAAGGTACCGAAGAGCATGATGACTGGAAGTACGTCAAACATCAAAGGTCAATACATACTAGTTCGCTGCGGATGATGGGGCGTGTCAGGGGGATGGGTTTGGCCCGTCACCAATCCGTTTCTTTACTTTCTTCCTTGGCAAGCGACGAGGTTGTGTCATGTCGTTTGTATCAGTCGTCTTCCACCAATTTTTTGTCGCTCTCTATAACAACCAGGAGAAAACGTGCTGGCGGCGCTTCAACCCCAGCCTCACTTACACGCCCTATTATCCCAACTCTTGGGCTGCGTTCATACTTTGCGGCAGCGTCCACCAGCGTTCCGAGCATCCGGCAGCGTCAGCGACTAGGAAAGTATAGATATCGATCTAACGTCTGCTAGCGTCTCCCAGCGCCTGCCAACGTGCTTCAGCGTCTACCAGAATAAAACAGCGTCTCGGGGATTGAAGGAGTATAGGTTTCTAATGTCTGATAACGTCTGCCAGCGTGCACCAGCGTCTACCAGCGTCCGGGAGAGGAGAGTATGGCGCGATAGGAGGGTAGCAGACTGCTGGTAGAGAGTATGGCGCGATAGGAGGGTACCAGCTGTCTGCTACCCTCCTATCGCGCCATACTCTCCTCTCCCGGACGCTGGTAGACGCTGGCAGACGCTAGTCGATATCTATACTTCCCTAGTCGCTGACGCTGCCGGACGCTCGGAATGCTGGTGGACGCTGCCGCAAAGTATGAACACAGCGTTAGGAACAATGGTGTGCAATAGATTTGTTGAAAATTTCGGACGTAGGCTTACGTATGCAAATCAGTAGACATATTGACACTGGGACCATAAACACTTCGTCTTCCTTTTCGCCAGCACTTGTGCTAAATCATTATAATCATTGACAACGTGCAGTCATAATAAGAGCAAGAGCGCAGCGAACTGATTTGAGAGATTTTACGCTTTTTTGAACCAGCGAAAGCGCTGATGGGCGTGGGAGGGCCATTTTGCGTTCCCGCTAATTCCTTCTGGTAGTACGTGCATGACGCATAATTATGAGATTTCAGTTTGGTGGTACCTGTAAGGTCCTATGAAGCTACAAAATGGTACACCTGAGCCGTTTTGGTGACAGAAGTTCACAGGTCTTCAGAAGGTGGCCTGTAGGAGCTGGATCTGTATGTACAATCTGTTGCCCCCACCAAACCGAACCGCGTTCAACGAGTTTATAAATCTGGAGATAATTATGACGGTCTTACAATCTCATTTTAAGTCGGGCGTAGACGGTTGTGAGATAGACGAGAGCTAGTTGTCCAATATCACGAATGATGATCCAAGTTATTGGGCAAAACATGATCCCGTAGAATATTGTGAACCATCTCGCTGATAGGGTCTCCGGAGCGATCGAACCTGTAAAGGTCTACTTGGTTTCACTAGTAGTTGTTAAAACGGGTTTATTTAAACGTGAAACTACGTTGAAGTGTGCCAGATACTGTAGCTATTACACTCAGGGCCTTTCATCGTTGGGGATTCTACAACAGGGAGGGGAGGGGGGGGTTGTACTTGATCTGAGGTTTTTTGGAAGTTGATTTCCCTTGTTTTAGGGACCTATGAAGGGGGTGTGGTCTTTGCCTTCTGGTATTCTGAGAAAGGTTATTGACTTTTCGAGGTGCTTTCCTATTTCATTTTTACTATATTCTCCGTACCCCCCCCCCCTCTCCCCGCTCGACAGTTCCATGAGGAGGGAATTAGGGCTGACTCTAGCAAAATCCCCAACCAATGATGTGTCCTGATTACACTGTGAAGTGAATCCGGCCTTATGAAAAAGCCACTATATTCCATGAGACCGAGGGAAACCATCTGATCCATTTCTAAAGACATCCTTCGCGAATGTGAGCCATAAGTAGCGGTTGAAAACAAAAATGTATGTGATCACTAACTTAACCCTGGGGGAAAAACTTTCGAAAATGTCCCTAATGAGGCTTTTGTTGTTGCAGTTAACTCTGAGCGAGAAGCGAAAATTTGTTAGGAAATAGGGAGAGAGACCAGATAGGAGGAGCGATAGAGCACATAAATGAACAAGCTATCAGACACCAGCGCATGCGGCACCACCTGAGCAATCTTGCTCCTTAACGCGAAATGTACTTTTAACGGAAGAATTGCCTGTAGCGCCCTTTGTGGGAATAACCACCTCACTCCTAGATCAAACACGAGCGTTCTAGAATCAGATGGTGGCATGGGGACTGTCTACGAGTCTGCACCTACAACTGTCGCACCATTGCCTCGATAGCCGACCAAACCATATTACTGGAGGCTAGTAAAAGACTTCGTTTCGATGTCATCGCTCTCCAGGAAACAAAAGCAAAAGAAACAGCTAGGAAGACCAACGATGGCCACCTAATTGTTCTCGGAGCCAAACTGAGCGGAAGAAATGTCGGTGGTGTTGGATTCCTCGTCCACCATCGGCTCGAGCACATGGTCGATTCAGTCGAAGTGATCGGCCCGCGACTGGCCATCCTACGTCTACGCGATCGACAAAAACGTCACTTTCGTGTTAAGGCTGCGTTTATACTTTGCGGCAGCGTAGCGTAGCGCTTCCAGCGTACGCCAGCGGCAGTGCCGAAGAGAGGATGCATATCGATCTAGCTTCACCAGCGGCACGCTAGCGCACGCTGGCGTAGCGAGGGCACGGGAAGCATAGCTATCGATCTAGCTTCACCAGCGTTTCTCGAGCGTTTCTCCAGCGGCACCAGCGTTTTGCTAGCGCTTGCAGCGGCAGGGAGTAGAGACTATGTGGCCGTGAGAGACGCGGAATCGACGTGTATTGCAGAGACATGTGCCGTCCAGAGGCGCGGTAATCGATTGTATAGTAGAGACTATGTGGCCGGCCGGAGATCCAGAGCGATTGTATTGTAGAGGCTAGGCATGGGCGCGCAATCGATGTGTTTTGTACCCTCCAGCTCTCCCATAGTCTCTACTCCCCTGCCGCTGCAAACGCTAGCAAAACGCTGGTGAAACGCTGGAGAAACGCTGGCGTACGCTAGCGTGACGCTGGTGACGCTGGGAACGCTAGATCGATATGCATCCTCTCCCCGGCACTGCCGCTGGCGTACGCTGGAAGCGCTACGCTACGCTGCCGCAAAGTATAAACGCAGCCTTAGTATTATCAACTGCTATGCACCGTCGTCAGCAGAT